AATGGTGTAGATGTAAAATTATTTTAGTTATTTTTAATTATTTTAACAATAGGTTCGGACTACTCTAAAGTACAGCGATTGTTACTTTGGAATAAACTAGAAACCCAACTACAAATGAATACTCGATAGTAATGGGTTACCCAAAAAAACACGAAATGGGAACTCGTTATAATCTTCATAAATGTATTAAGTTCCAACTACGAAGAATTGACTTGGAAGAAAATTAGAATTATTTACTGTATATTATCTATTCTCTAAAAAAAGGAACTTGTGGATCGCGACTTTCACCCTGGAAATTTATTATTACAAATTTATTGCTTTTGTTGTTAATTTTGGGCTTAACGAACCCAGCAAATGTAAAAATCAAGAAATCTACGGAATACTTCCTTATGAGTCCAGAAGTAGATGGAAAGCCATACACTAACGCTGCAGATATTTTTTGGAATGATCATGTACGAGATTGTAATTGATAAACCACCATTCTGTGAACGAAGACACGATACAGCTCTTGTATTAGACATTTGCAAACGAATGCGACTTACGATACCAAATATTATTCCCGAATGGTGTAAATTTTTTATTAAAAAATGTTCCAGAAAAGAGAAGGAACTTATTACTTTATTGAAATTTGTCAGATATGATTATCCCATATATGCCACCTAATACTTTGCATTGTCAGTATTACGGCGATTTTAAACAAGATGAAGAAATTAAAGGGGGTCCCGAAATAGAAAGACAGAAACAGAAAGAACATTGATGAGGCGATAAAATCACTTAATGAAATAGAATCATTTGATGAGAAGAAGACCTTAGCCAGGATAACAAAAAACAACAAATTCACTTAAATGAAATTTACGCCGGTCGAATGTTTACTTCGAAATTGATTTCAACTGATAGAGGTATGGCCCATTATTTTTATATTCAATCAAAAAATGGCATTTCAGATTAATTTTAAATATATCAAACATTTAGGTTCTACAAGTGCTAGTCTGTATGTTCCAAATGAAGGTAAAATATTATCTTTCATAATACAGTATCAACATTAATATACTAAAAGTATTTATTTACACAAAATGCTAGAATATGATATCGATATCGATGCCAAATTAACAAAATCAGTTATATGCATCTAACGAGGTAAAATTTATTAAATACAATAATGATCACTTTTTTTATTTTATAATGTCAGATGTGATACATGTAATATGAACGGACAAGACACAGAAAATTAAAATTTAAACTCAAAAAATAATACAACGTACTTTTACATTAACAATGTTTCAAAATATTATATACTATAAATCAATAAATAACTAGATTCCAAAGATTATAAATTGAACAACAAGCGCCCAAATGAAAATGTGTTGAAAGAATCAAATGAACGAGGATTGAATCAGAACGAAATCGATCAAGAAAGATAATCGAGGCAAAAATCTTATGATTTCGTTTTATAAAAAAAATACATATACGTGCACGTATTAACGTTAAATATTTGTTGACAAATGACGAATTTACAGTCTCACAAAGTTTGCGGGTCAAGATGGATTACTTTGACTTCTTTATTTCCATTCCTTATGAACTTTCTCTTTTATATGCAAACGTACCTTTTTCTCATTATTAAAGTTTATCTTTTTACCTCGATTTATTCATTTTATTAAGAAAGTCTTCGTAAATTTTATTGACAGCATACTCAACAGCTCTACACTCCAATCCATTATCATGTCTTCATATACATGTATCTCCATGATTTACGCGCAAATTTACGAATAGTTATTGCAGGAACACTGCCAAGACTTTTTTTACTTGTTACTACCTTTTTATGGGACGCATCATTGTAAAATTATTCAAATTTAACATATTATTGATGAACAAGTTAATAATAATTTGACATAACAATTAAAAAAAAATAAAATAATTATGATAAATGAAACTTCACTGACATTGTTGTTTTAAACTTGGAAAATGAACGAACGTGTGAAGATTAAAATCACGGGTAAATTGTTTTGCTTACATGTGAAAAATGCCAAACAATTAAGCATCAATGATTTTTAAATGATTCTCATTTTTTATTAAGAAAAACTGACAGTTCCGCACGATAAATAATGGTGTATAATTTTTTAAATTAAGGATAAGATTATTACATAAAATTATCTTTAAGTAAGGCATCATATTTAATAAAAATCAGCACATGATATAGTATTCAAATAGCTTACTCAAACAATGGGAATTTTAATCATTATTAATGGCGATCATAATTACAAAGTGATTAGTTATAATGATAATAGACCGTAAATAACGGCCTATAGCTATAGTATCTCCTTGTAAAAATTTAAAAAATTTAAGCCTCAATTTTAATCCAACTTTCATCAAAATATTTGTTTCACAATAATAAATTTAAATTCAAAGCATAATTTCTTAAAACTTTAGTGACTAATATACTAGCCTTGAGGATAAAATTGAAGTTTAAGTTTTACAAGGGGGGGGGGGGGTACTATAGATCGCGATTTACAGTAAGCATCAATTTTAAGCAAAGAAATCGGCGAAAAGATGTAGAAAAATTACGGCAAGTAGTCTAAAGATTTAAAACATTGCAAAATTAACAATGATTATATAATTAGTAAATGTTCTCTGCAATCCAACTAATTTATTTTACTCTGCCCATTTAATTGTGACAATTGTATTATTTCAAAGGTCTAAATCAAAAACAAATATTATCAACTTAAGCAACATCATTATTCAATGATACACTTCAATTATAAATGTAAATTCATTAAGTTAAACAAATAAAATTTACAACATTAAAATAAGTAATTAATCCGTAAAACATAATCGTTCTGATTCATTATTATCTAAGTCAGTATTTCACATATATTTTATAAGAACTTAAATATACAGATATTCATGATATTAATAAAATGAAATGTATTGCAAATTTTATCTGTATGTGCATTACTGTAGCTGTTTTATTCACTACCAACCTCTTTGTCTACAATATAAAACATCTTATCAATCTCAATAAAGCCTACACAATGATCAATGGCTGATGCATCAATAAATTCATGTGAACCAATCGGTTGGATGTTTTTACGCAAAAACATGTTCATCAAAAGGTGATGTCCACTGAATGTATGCTAGCAATGTTTTGGACATTCGAATTCATAAACTAAATAATACCTGGCATAGAAATCTTGAACTTCAAATACTGATGGTTGTTTCAGATAGTTTGCATAAATATCTACTTCTATTTTTACCTAATAAAAATAAAGTTAATGACGGGTAAATATTTAAAATATAATTCAAAATAAAATAAACATACCATAACAGTATAATTAATCTTTAATATCGGCAATCCATTTGATCCAATGTAATGATCCTCTTTTATTCTAACCGGCTGTATTCCTTTTGGCTGAAAGACCATTTTAAATTAGCCATTTTAGCAAAGATTTTCAAATTTTATACTAACCATAGGTTGTCAACCTGATACATCTGTTGTAACAGAAGAAATGCTTTTTAATTTTTTTCAATTCGCTTAGTGTTAACTTGTATTGAGTCGAAGGAAAATAAAGAACTTGATCATTTTCTCCAGTATAATGCTACCGAAGTAACCTAAGATTCCGTAATTCTTTAATCTTTACCGAACATAGAGATCTTGATTGAATTGGGATACGGTTTCTGTGACAATTCATGTGTAATGACGAAACGGTCTTTGCTAACAATTAATGCAGGATGAATTCCTCATCTGCTTGGTCATTTGACCTTCCGAGAGTCTCAACAATCGAAAATTAACGTTTAAAATAATCATACTAATCTTCGTGGGAATCAAGACATGTGACAATCTCTTATGGTTAACATAATTTCTCCTTATATTCGAGATTGTTAAAACAGTTAATTAATTCCCTTCACAAATACTATTATCATTGAACACTTCGTAATCATATTTAATTTAGAAAATCGCAACTAACGTTTGTCATCTTTATCCCTTTTAATATACTCTTCTTTTATTTACTTATCTCCATTATCGTAGCCTTTTTCAATAGTTACTCTTCAAACGAAAGAAATAACTTCACGCGTCCACAAAAATAGTCTCAATGATCAAAGCCCTAATCATTCAATTAACATAGATATTTTTTGCCGTCAAGTAATTATTATAGAACAGATAAATTTATATAAACGCAAGCTCTTGGTATTATCGACAAGAGCAAGGAAAAACACAATAAAAAAATAACAATATTAATTAACCCGTGAACAATCCTTCGCTTGTCAATATCCTGTTACTCATCCCGAGATCTTGCGTACTAGAGGCGTTTATCTCTTTGTCCCTAACACAAATCAATAGTAGAAGAACTCCACTCTAAATAAACTAGAATTTATCTTGAGTAATTTGTTTGATTGGCATTGGATAAGTCCAACTGCTGATTTATTTCGTGCCGTGTTGGAATTTGCTATGTGCCTAATTCCTCATGTGAATAGTTTGTTGTCCGTAATAACAAAGCTCAACATTTTCTTCTTGTGTCAGTAGTGAGCAAAAGCTACCTCTATATTCGTTTGAGTTACATGAACCATCAACCTTTGTCGAAGATTCACCTTCAAATACAACAATTAAAATACCTTCTTACCCCTTCCAGATCGTAGTTTTCGTAAAAATGACCACAGGAGACCTATGGAATAATTAGTAAACCTCTATTGTAAAACAAACAGTTCTTGCTCTCCTCTATTGTTATAACTTAAATCTGAAATTCGGCCATTTTTGGAATCAATGTAGCCCCTCTGTGGAATAATCCGCTGAATTAGTAAATATTTTAATAAGACCTCCTGTTGCAGATTATCGAAATCCCTGCATGAACAAGTCCTATAACCTTAGAAAAAACAAAGTTAATCAGCATTTAGAAAATCATCAAGATCCATGATACGAGCCTCTTAGGAGACCACCGCAATACTGCCATCTTTGTTACTTATCTATTCTGAGAAATTTATGATTCTTCACGGAATTTTAGGCTTGGCTATGAGAGAATGATGCCATTAATTATTCGCACATCACCCAGATCATATTTGAATGCCTAGAGCAAAATTGAGTGCAACTTACGGAAAGGATTATTAAGGAGCTGCTCAATTAATTATACAGTATGTCAACGAAGATTTGTTCAAAGTGAATAAAGACAACTAACGCAGAATATACTTACTTTATTGAATAGCGAACCTTCTGAGTCTAGCAGTGACAAGTTTTCAGACTGCCAAATAGTAATTTCATCCTATTAAACTGAAAGCAGCGAGGAATCAAGCTCAGAAGAGGAAATCAAGCAGCTGGAACACTATAACCAAAACAACTATTAAATATCAAACACCTCCAACTCCAATCTAGAAGATCTTCCAGATTTAGAGAAATGGCAGATGCAGCTACTGTCTTAGCCATGATGCAAAGATTAACCATGCATTAACAATGCAAAATACAAGAGCAGTTGAAAAAATGCTCATATCTATACAAAAGTTTTGGAATGGTGACCAAAATCCAGTAGTCTGGCTAAAGGATTTTGAAGTAGCCATTACCGCTAACAGACTTATTGAAGAAAGGAAAATACAAGTCATGCATGAATATTTAGAAGAGTGGCAGTCATTTGGTTTGATGAGCAAGCTGTGAACAATAAATCAACTAACTGATTGAACTAATGCTGGAAATAATGTACATGATTTTAAATACCATCTTACTCTTAAGTTCCAAACTAACTAGAAGCTGGATAATTGACAAGATGAGTTGGAAGAACTACAACAGATTGGAACTGTGGATGAGTATATCAATAGATACTATGAACTGCTTTGTAAAGCAGATCTGAATAATCATATTCATGAAGATAGCTATGTAAGATTTATCACTGAGAACAGAGGTCTGAGCTAAGAAAATGAGTAAAAGTCAATGTAAATGATACTCTTATAAACACATAGAAGTAGCTAAGAAAGTGAAGAAAACTGAGCAGGAGCCACTTTCTAGAGTTTATCATTAAGCAAGCAATATTCTCAATATACATATTAACCAGCTAACAGTCTCAATTACTTGCAAGCTGGATGGCTTAGAAACTACATCCAAATACAGACAAGCAAAAAGTTAATATAGTGAATCAAAATCTAATTAATGAAATAATTAAAGAGTTATTTTCTGTTACAGATTTGATGTTAAGAGACACATCAGCATACAATGCTCAAATCCATCACAAAATGACCATAATTGAAACAGACAGAATGATAATGGATGGAATAAATACAATCTAACCTTGCAAGACAATAGTCAGCTTAACTCAGAGAACTAATTGATGAATAATAAAATATCAATTGCTAATGACAATACATCTTGATAATCCAAATTCAGAAACTAACAAAGGCAATAAATGCTCAAAAAGAGAACTAACATCTGAATATTACTAATTCTTTGTTAGCATCCCATCAATACATAATAGAAGAAAAAAGTTCCTGAATAATCAAACATATACAAAATAATTAAATGATTCAAAAGAAACTCCATTACAGAGCAATCAAGATCAAAAGAAGTAGCAAATAATAACATAAGGGAAGCTGATCTATTAAATATAATAGAAGTAATAGATGAGAAAAAGAAACTGAAACAAAAAAAAATAATCTTATCAATGCTAGCAACCAAAGCAGTACTATATAACATTATCAAAGATCTTACAAGTATGAAGACTAATATTACGATCATCTAGTTGATCAAGATATCTTTGTTCTAATGCATAAAAATGTCAAAGACTATAAGATAACCAATCCAGAAGAATATAATAGGATAGATTACTGGATTAATAACTCAAAAAATAAAGATTACTTCCATCTGATGCAAGACTAGAGTGAAAGAAACTATAATTAATCTAGTAGTTAATATAGAGTTTTAGAATATATTATCATAAAGAACTTCCTAAACAAACAAGAATTAAGATCAAATAAAAATCTACTGTATTAATGATATAAACAATTAATAATTTGCCAATAATAATAATAGAATTATAATTCTTACTAAAGTAGATATCATAGAAGTCTACACCTATATCATAATAGTAGGAATGAACTTTCTAAATAAGATCCATGCAAATATTGATATTAGAAATGAATTAATGATCTTTTATATGGAATAAACAAAAGGAGAAGATTGCTATTAAGTATATATAAATATATAAGCAAATAGAAGAACTTTTGAATAATAAAGAAGATAAAGAAACTGAAATGAGATTTCTCAGACAAGAAATATAAATATAACAATTTTAATTAGATTATTTTTCTTTAGATCTCTTTTAGTTTAGATCTTTATTTTGCATATCTGTATAACAGATTAGCTTTGTATTATATTTCTAAGAAAATCATTTTCACTTTGGATACAAAGATGATTATTATATATTAAATACATCTAGATTTAGCATATTTTTACTCAGATGATCACCATATGTATCATAATTATTAATTTAGAATATTAATATTTTAATTAATTATTTTCTTTATAATTTTATTTATTCTTCTTATTATTCATTTATATTATTATTTATTATTATTTATAATTATT